GCATCGTAATCATGAAAAATAATCATGGAAACCCATGGCTCAGAAAAACGTAGGTGAAACTTTTGTCAGAAAGATTACACGCTCACCTCTAACCTAGAGAAAAATTTTCAATGAAATTTTTTCGTTCGAAAACTGGATGTTCAGTATGCTGTTCGACCCACTTTTGTCTACTGATTTCAAATATATTATTAGTTTTGCTTGAAAATATATGAGAAGTGAAAAGGGCGTAAAATAAGTGAAATAGTGAAGGTTAGAGGTGTAATCTTTCTAACAAAAGTTTCACCTACGTTTTTCTGAGCCATGGGTTTCCATGATTATTTTTCATGATTACGATGCACATTGAATGCAAATTCTATAGCAGAAAGAGCAACTGTTAGTTCATCACCCTCGCCCTTCTACGTATGCTTCTATTATGAATGCTCCTCGTCAATGAATTTCCAGAACCTCACAATAATTAATCTTCATACTTTGGCTAGATAGTATACAAATACTGTAGAGTCTTTGGTGCGAATTTGAAGTCAAAGTGATGCTCCTAGAGGGAATTATGAATTTTTTTCGTAGAGAACCTCGAATTTTCCCATAATTACTTCGAAAAAGAACAACACAGTTGTGAACAGTTAGTTAAACTAGACAATCTCAATTTATATGTGTCTGAATATGACAATGAGTGTACTGTTAATAAAAATTGAAAAAGAAATTGAGAGTTGTTCGATGAACTTCGTGATATACAATAATATGTTGATGACCTCGAAGAGTAAGTAAACGATTATTTATATACGATAGAACTGTTCATTCTATTGTCAACTTTTTATTTTAGTCAAAACTAAACAAGAGAAACAACGAACAATTGTTTAAGAAAAATAATCAAAGTATGAAAAGTGAAATGAGATACTTAAATACGGAAAATAATAACTAAAATGATGAATAGTTGAAAGAAAGATTTTTTAAAATTGGTAGGTATATGTGAGAGTGAGAGTACAAGTATTGATAATAATATCTTTCTATTTTCATACTGATTTCGTTTTCTACAGACTTTACAAAATTCTGCGAGCAATATTCGATGAATATCAATTAATAATTACATTAGAAGAATATGACTTCGTTATTTGATTGAATATCCTATTAATAACAAGACCATCGATGGTTACTTACATCATAGATTACGTTATTTAATTCCTTCGTATTTATTTATCCGCTATTATCTAAGTGGTCTTGTCAATCAATGATTAAGAATTATTAAAACATTACATTAAGTATGAAAATAGAATAAATAAACACATTTTTGAATAAAATTATGTGTACATAACAGATGGTATAACTATAGTTATGGCAAGAGTACATAAATAAATCAATGCAATCAATTTGCTCTGATTTTTTCTCATTTAACAAATAATCCCTTGTTCAATAATATTTACGTTCTATCAAAAAACATGTAATGTAGTTTCGAAAATATTTCAATGAAAATATAGCGAATTTGTTAGATATTTAAATTAAATATCGAGCTAAATATCAAAACAAATGACATATTATAAATTTGAAAATTTTAATAAATACAAACGAGGTTATATTCAGATATTGTTCATTTCTTTTCAACAAGTATTTTGTTTTTACGTATGTTCACCTGATTACGATAATTGTTGTACTTTGAAGCATTTTAAAAATAATATAGTAGAGACAAAATGTTTAATTTGTAAATAAATTTAAAATATTTAAAAATAAAAAATAATCATAATAAAATTGAAAATCAATAAAAAAATTTTGTGATTTCCTGACAAAATAATCGCCGCCTAGAATGACGACTCGTAGAGAATGAAAAAAATTATTCTTATTGTGATAGGTGGCAGTACATCTCAAAGACATTTAGAATGAACTCATTTTTAACCGTTTTCTTCTCTAAGAACAATTGTTTGCTTTGACATTTTAAAAATGTCTTTATATTGGTCGAGATATTGAAATCGAAGATATTTTAATTCTTAGTGCAAAAGATATCACAGGAAGTCTATTAAAAATTGATAATTTTTGGTGATGGTTAGAATTGTCAAATGAGAGAAATTCTTTTCCTCTTTGTTCTCTATCTCTTCTCTCTACTTGATTGTTTTTTGTTTTGTTTGTTTACATCAGTTTACTTCAGAAGCATCTCATTCTCATATACTCAAAGCATAGAAAATCGACAGTATGATGACAACCCAAAATCGATAGAAAATCTTCAATTAATCATGATTTTTCTGAAAACTGTCAGTCAATTTTCATGACATGGGAAGTTATAAAGTGTTGCAGGAGACTAAAAAGTAGTCAGTACGTCTAAGAAAAATGAATCCTAGAGTATAGAAGATTTAACAATCTCTTTGTATAATTCTTGTACTATTTTAAATTTTCCTTTTTCAGTGTTTTCGATCGACTTCTCTAAATTGCATGTCAAATATTTTTCATCAGTGATTATCAGTCGAAAATTTTTGTTTTCACCACTAAAACTGTTTGCTAAAATGTAAGTTTTTACACCCTGATCGAAAACAATCTGTAGCATTGTTTCTTGCTCAAGATAAACTCATTTAATCATTTTTGTAATAAACGTACGATGATGTAAAAGAAATGTTCAAAGGACAGAAAGATTTCTAAAGCTTTCGAAATATTATAAAAACTTGAGATGTTACAATTATTCGATTACTTGTTCACTTACGATTAATTGAATCAATTGGACTTATTTAGTTAGTCTTTTTTGTGTATTCAATTTTTTTTCCATTTTTGCATTTTAGAAACAAAAAAATTCTTCTCATAAATCTTCCTCAACCATTATACAACGAAAATGGCTGGTGCTAAACAAAGTTTTTTCAATTCACTCTTTCGATGGACCATGAAAAATACTGATGATACAACAAATACAGTAGTGCCAGAAATTATTGAAGAAGTAAGGTAAAACTAAAAAAAGTAATTATTCTTTAATCTCTACTCCGTTTTTTTCATAGCGTAAAATATGGTTATCTGAAGCACTTACTAATATGAGTGTTAATCCTGTCGATCGTTTAAAATGGTGTATTGAAATTATTAAAAATTCTAAGTCAACAGATGAAGAAATTATGAAATCATCTGAAGAACTCAATCATTGGACAGAAGAATTAGATTTAGCAAAAGGTAAATTGATCTTTTTCAATTTATTAAAAATATGTTCATATTATTGTCATTTAGATTTTTTTACTGTTGGTGGAGGTGAAATTTTACCAATTTTATTAGATCATGTTGGTGATGAAATACGTATACAAGGATGTTCATTAATTGCTAATCTCGTTCAAAATAATGATCATTGTCAGCGAATTGTTATTCAATCTGGTATACTACAAAAATTATTACTTATATTAGATCAAAGTGAAAATGATGATGTTCGAACAAAATCATTGACAGCTATATCAGGTATATTTGTTAATCTATTATATTATAGAGTTGTTAAATGTTTTTCTTTTAGCCTTAATTAGAGGTTATACACTTGGTCAATTACAATTTCAAAAATTTAATGGTTTCAAAATTGTTGTAAAAGCACTCTCAGCACAAATACCAAGATTACAATTAAAAATATGTTTTCTTGTCAATACTTTAAGTATAAGTAGTCAACAGATGAAAAGTAAGTTTTTATCATTCAACACTGTTTTGGTTATATGTAACAAAAAAGAAATTTTTTTAACTCGAAATCCTGTTCAAGAATCGAACATTATTGAGAAGAGAATAATTATATCTCTATGATAATTGTAAGTGTGATATATTAGTGTTACAGAAAAAATTTCAGAATATTTCGAAGATATTTTTCATATATTTGTTTTTTTAATTATTTTTTTAGAATTATTTTATGAAAATGGTACACTTGATGAATTAATTAATTTCTATGTGAATCCTACATGTCCAGATCCTATGCATGTTGTTGAAGCAATTTTATCATTATCTGACGCTAAAAAAGATGTATTTCAATCGTTAAAAGAAAGAAATAATCCATTGTTTGATGAACTAGAAAAAAAATTAAATCAACGTCTAGAAATAGTAAAGTCAGATGCAGAACAAAATGTAAGTATATCATAAATAAACTAATTGAATTGTTATCTATTTTAAATTTTATTCTAGGATGAAAAAGCATCAATATATCAGTTATTAACATTCATTCAACCATCTTCTTCCACTGTAACGACATCGACAGATTCACAAGTCTCAACATGATATCAAATAATGAAACGTGAATTAATTTAAATTAATTGTGATATCATATTCCAAGTTAAAACTCATTTTTTATACTTTATTTCAAATATTTATGATCGAAACATTCTTTTTTTTTTTTGCAATCTCTCTTGGTGCTCAATCCATTTATGCCCGGTAATATTTCATCAAATGTTATTGTTGTATGTGTTCTTCTTCTTTTTTGTTACAATATATAGTTTCATTTATCCAAGTCAAAATAAAATGACTTGAGTTATAATTTCATGTTAATTTATAATATAAACTTTGTTATTCGTATGAACTGTGAAAGTTTTACAGATTATTTTTCATATTCTTTCCTTTTTGGCTTGTTGTATTCATTTTCTTATCTAACCATTGTAGGTCAATCAAATTATTAACTGCAACGTATCCGTTTCCATTCTGTGTATGGAAAGAGGTTAGATTTGACATTGATATTTTGAGCTTGCTTGAAGTCACTTTTTTTCGCCTACAGAAATATGTTTCGTCTATAACATTCTATGAAACATTTTTTTTCTCGAACTTTGTACGTCCATTGTTATAAACTACGATATTTTTAGTATATTTCTCTCATGCAATAAATTTGTATTTGTTCTTTTTACTATTCTGACAAGTCAATGGACTCCCGTGATGCTCGCTGTTGTATGGAAAATGGAAAGCAACTGCGGAACAAAAATCGATTATAAAAATGCAGTTATGAGTAATTAAGTTTTGATTCAGAAATGGTCATGTGTAATCTTGTTGAAAACATTGATCTTTTTACTTTTGTATAATTTTTAACAACTATCTTATTCGTTATTGTTGTTAAGACTATTTTGGAAAAATAACGAATGTTTCTCGTTTTAACAATCCACAAAACACCAAAAATTGAGTTATATAGATGAACAATGTAATCGTGCATGGTATGAAATCGAAACATTACTGTTTAATCAAACATTGACTGCCGAGCATTCTCGTTTTGTTAGCGATGAGCTGAGCATCTTGATTCGGAAAGATATCAATCAATTTATCTCTTGGACTCGAGTATGACACCAAATTTTTCTCGAAATAAATTTTTTTCGATCGGCTCTAATATAAAAACTGCTTCTGCATTACAAAAGTCAACATGAGATAGCACGAACATTGTAATTTACAAATAACATTTGAACTAAGTGCACTGTCATGGTATAATTATAATCTATTAAAAAAGTTATTCGTGTTTAACTTCAGGAATAAGTTCACTGAGATACGTCATTGTGGTATTGATTGTAAATTTTTTGTTATCTATCGGTAGGGGCTTGAATAGCAAGTAAAACTTTGGGAGGGACGGGTGTAAACAATTTTCTATGGCCCATGCAGCGAAAAAGTTTTTTGGGGGGATGTATAAAAAAAATGTTTCGCTGCGTGACCAAAAGAATAAAAAAGTTGTTTAGTTCCAATGGGAGAAAATGAAAAACTCTTATTTTCGGAGGGATACCCTCATACCTCCCCTTCCAAATTCAGGTCTCTGTCTATCAGTTCGAAGACACAAACTGTTATTATCATTTGTTGTTCTCATAACGACACAAATAAACTACTTTATATTTGATATAGTTTCTTTTGTATGTCGTACATACACATTTGTCTTGTCTATGATATGTAAAAAAGTCAAAGATAGTAAATAACGATGTTAAAAGATAACACGGATAATATTTTCGAACAGTAGTATACTTATTCATTTTAACACAACGTGAGAGTAATGAACTACCAATCGTCTTATAGACAATTTGTTATTTTTTCAATATGAAACCTATTTCATTTTTTCACAATAAAATACTACTACTGAGTGTTGTTATTCTAGCATGTTAACGATTCTCCTGTTCTATCAAACCTTTTTGAGAGTACATCATTTATCAACAAATTTCAAAAAAAAAGAGGAAATAAATAACAGCTCAACAGACGAAGAAATACGGTCAGAATCGCTCGTATTATATGTAAAAATCAATAGTTTACGGTGGTTAAGTCTATTTTACATCACAGATGATAGTTAAACGATGTAACACTTCATTTTGAGTATCTCTTATGGGATCCCGCCGGATAAGACCGTAATCTGCCCCCTCCCCCCCATTGAAACCAAACTATTATATTATAGTTGGATAGAGGATTGTTAAACACATCCGAACCTGTTGTCGGTTCTCTAAAATTGCTTGTCCTTGGATGAAAAATCAAGTTTTTCTCATATAGACGTACAATTTTTATCAAACGATTTTGTACGAATCATACTGGACAATTTTATACGAAATATCCGACCGACATATAACCATACCCGTACCAGAATCGTAGTATAAGAAATTATATGATGCTACTGTACGCATCATATAACTTCTTACTTCTCTTACGAGCTTGCACAATCGTGTACGATCTTAGTATGAATCTTCTACTTGGATGTTCATACATAAAGAAAAATATGCAAGTATCGGCCGATAACTTTATATTAGGAATGAATATAGTACTACTTTTCTTAAAATAGATAGTTCAAATCATTTGCTTGCTTTTGGATATATTCCATCAAGTAATAAACACAAGTATTCTTTCCCTAATACAATAATTTAGTGATATTCTGGAATATTTATTTTATTTTATTTTATTTTTTCAAACTGTTCGCACGCTAGCATTCATTGACCAAAGTTGCGGCCATGAGGATTTGCCTGTAGTTGCTGATTGTTCGTCTTTTGTTGTTAATAAAAACAGTTCATTCTTTTTTTTACAAATATCTATCGACAGTATTCTACTTTCCAGATGAGAATTCGTGAACCAATCAACTGGCGTTAAATGAATATCAAATACTAAAACACCAATATGACCACTGTGCTCATTACTAACATAAAGATATCTGTCTGTACAACACAGTTTTGTAGGACAAAATGGTGTAAGTGCACTTCCACACAAATATAATACTTGTTTATTCGCATGTTCTCTAAAAATATGCAGACATTCATTGGCACTATCACTGACAAAAATACAACCACTAAAATAGACACACGATTCTAGGGTTGGTTTTTCACTGATATCGGCAATTACTTGATATCGTTTAATAAACTCTAATTTTCCATTGTTATTATTGTCAATTTTAAATTGTTGTACTGAACATTGTGTTTGATCAATAACAAATAACATATCATTGATTGTGTATAAATAACATATTTCTAAAAATGTATTATTTTCCGTACCTGAAGAGCCAAATTGACCAAGAATTTGTTGACTATATGATAGAATAGTAATCTCAAATTTTGTTGCTATATAAATATAATTTTTCGTTATACACATTCCACAAATATCGTCGGCCGATACAAAAAATTCTATAAAACTTAAATTTTCTTCAGTTCCGTTATCAATAAATGTCATTAACGGTTGAAAATTGCTGTTATTTGTATTATTCATATCAGATGGTGGTCGTTGTCTGAAACTTGCTCTAAACCTTTCTAATCTTGACGCTAAGAGGCATTTTGGCGTTGAACCTGCCCATGTTTTTAATTGATGACTATAATAAATACTTTCAGATAATATCGATAGATAACATGATTTTTCGTTTAATTGATCCATTGAATGTTGTTGTACTTCGTCTACTTCAATATTTGATCTACAACTATCTTTGATATTGATCATACAATATCGAATTAAATCTTTTATTGGGGCTTTACTAAACGTACGTCGAAAATCTTGAAATTCTTGTTTAGGAATGAGAACTTTTTCTATTTTCGGTATTGATTGTAGAATGTTGTTGGTTATTTCATAAAGATGTTTATTGGTTTCCTCTAATTTTCGTTTTGTGTCATTCGCCTTAAAAAGTCTTATTAATATATTTCTATCTTTTTTTGCTGATTCTAGGCTGGTAATAGCTATCCGTATGAAATTAGTAAGTAAGTGAATCTGAGCGATTAATTCAACCTGATATAATTCATTCACACGATCAACCATTTTTTTCAATCGTTCTAATAAACTTCCGGCAACCGCTAAATGTTTGGTTAATTGATCTGTAGTTTGTACCATTTCACTATCAGCACGTTGACTATCACGAATTATTATTGCTAATTCGATGGCTTTTCTACACAGTGGTATAGCAATGTCAAAGACAATTGTAACCATCTTTTTCAACCTAAAATAAAAAACAAATTAGATAAATCTATTTAAATTATCATTCAAAGAGTATTTCTCAATATTAGAAAATTAATTTTCGATTCAAACGATAAATTTAAGACTTTTTACATTAGCAAGTACAGTCTCCATTATTCTACATTCATAATACATATCGATACTCTCGATACATTAGAAATTTTGAAAAGTTTTCAACTGGTTCTTCCTATACGAACTTAAACGTCTTTGATCGAAACACTCTTCCATTTTGTTATTTTTCAGACTAACTGTACATTTTGTGTCAATATATATCATATCACTTTATGTTAGAGCTCGTGATCTTTTTATAGTTGGTTAAACAGATGATAATAGATTGCTGATATATTGACACTCTTCATGACGACAAATGAGAAATGAATCAATAATATGAATGAATTCGAGTTTTTCTTTATTTCAAAAATTTTTTGTACTATTTACTTTCTCTCAGTTTCTGAATAAAAAAAAACTGATTCATTTATGAATTATGCCAAAGGTATACATGCTCGAAATAATCGTTAAAGTAATCATTGAAGATAAACGTTCTTTTGCACCTGGAATGAGTCGGCATGTTTCTCTATTTATTTGTTTCTACATTTGTTTCTAGTATTTCGATACTAGACTAAATGTAATCAATGTAGTAAATACAGTAATATAAACAAATGCACTAAAAATTTAAAAATTTTGCTTTAAAAATTGTTGTGAAATTAATAATTTTCAAAAAGTTAAATACTTAAATGTCGATATTATACTAATATTTTTGATTCTATAAATAAGATTTCATATTTGATTAAATAAAATAGATTGTCTCTATTCATTTTAAATATTTTTTTAAATTTTTATATACTGTGGCTTTTAATATCGAATTATTAATTATTTGAATGGTCTATGTTGTCGATGAGTATCTGCGAATAAGTGCTCCTTGAAGATCTTCTAAATTTCATTGTTTTGAAATAATTGGAAGAAACACGTTTTTAATACTTCAATAGTAAATGTACAATTTTGACTAACATCCCTCACCAATTATATAATTAATCATATGTTAAGTTAACACTAGTAAATAATAAATAGCCAATGGACGATTATCACAGATATGAGTATTAAGTTTGTTTCTTGTTTAGATTTTAGTTAAATTCCACTAAACTATTTAGTATTATAATTTAAATAGTTTTTGTTTAAATAGTTTTGATAAAATCAAGTTTTAAACTTGAAGCTATTGTACTCTTTTTATTATATATACTACTTTATATATGAGTTTTTATTGACATTTTGATTGTACTGTAAGAGTCAATATCTCGATTGGCGTTGATGAAGCTTATTATTAAAATTAAGATAAGACTAAACAGTCAATGTTTATGGTGCTTAAAAACTAGTTTTCATTAAAATGATTGTTCTACTATTTCTAAGAGAATGTGTAATATCGGATATAATCCATCATTATTGATTTTCTATTGGTTTTTTGTCAACACTTTTCTGAATATCTTAGTTTGTCAATAATCTTCTCTTCTTTTTCTTCCACTATCATCGTCGATACTCTCTGATGAAATGAAATTATCAAAGTCAGTTAAAATAGGATTTCAATTTTTTTATTTAGTAGATTCTTCGTTCATTTTTGTACCATATTATATTTATGACACTTGAATCTTAATCAAGAACTATTGTGATTTGACTCTTATTTTCTTCGATGTTTGTTGAACATAGAAATTATTCTAAATTTCTTATTTTAATTAAATTGAAAATATTAGTAAATTAATAGTGAGAAATTATAATTTAAAAATAATAAATGTTTTATTTTGGCTAACTAAGAAAAACTAAACTAAGAAATTATAGCTTATAAAATTTCCTAATTTGTATACTTACTTCTATTAATAGTTTTAACGTAATAAAAGTAACATTTTAATGTATGATTATAGTAGGTAAAGAAACGTTGACAAAAATATTTTTTCTCCATTTTCTTCATTTTTCTTTTCGTTAAGAACTACACACATTTTTTTATTATCTAAGTAACCTTCTGTAAATACTACATTTGTTAGTACTTTTTCTATGAATCATTTTTGAAATATTCTAGAAATGAAAAGAGTCTATTTATTATTTAATCAGTAGTTATTTTAAACTATGTTCTATAATTTCTGTTTACTAAATGGAATACATTTGAAGAGAACGTGTTTTGATATATGTTAACTTTGATAATACAAACAAAAAAATTATATTATTATAAAATAAAATTAATCAAAACAAAAAATCTCGAATACAAAAATTAATTTATTGCATTTAGTCTAATCTTTCCTTCTATATTTATTACAAAAAAAAAAAAAAAATCTGTATTTTATATTTTTCAAGAAAAAGTCTACATCCAATAAATATACATAATTTATATTTTTAGAATTAAGATTTCAATCATCTGATGAATTGAAAAATAATAAAATTTAGAATTAAATAATATATTTAAATTATATCTCCCGTCAAAGTCTCCTATGATTTAAATAATATTTTTGATTTATTCGCATAATCTTAGAATGTCAAATTTGAAATGAAAAAAAAGAAAAAAGAAACAGACGACATTGACAATCAATACAATATGAAAATTATTAGTTATGAAGTGCAAAATTCAAGTTTAACTAGTCTGAAATTGTTTTTTGCACGTGAACTTATATAGGAGAATTGCGATCCATATGTACTGTTTTGATACAATTTATGATTCAACTCATAGCGTCTGTTATACCCATCTGAGATATTTGAAAAAGAAATCTCAATTTTCACAATTTTGGGGATGGTTCTGGTATAGAGTTTCTCGAAGGAACGCCTTCTCTGTTGTTTTGCTAAAAGCTTTTTCCAACTCTTTTTTAAGTATTTGAGAATAGAGGACAGTTTGGGCTACAAATCTACAGTATTTTCGTCTTCAAAAAGTGTTTTGATCTACCAGGTGTGAAAATGCATGGTTACGAAAAAAAAAAGGAAAAAATGTCTCGTCGCGCTTCTCGAGCATTGTTTTGCGTTACATACTTTATCAAAATCAAATAATTGAAAATAGCCAAAAGATAGTTCAGAAGGTACAAAATCTATGGTTAGAAGAAAAAAATTAAATATCTTTTTGTTTCAGAGAAAAATAGAAAACACAATTTTTATCCCTACTTTTCTACTAAATGTCCCGTCACGTTTTAACGTTTGTTTTCGCTATAAAATCTGATCGATTTCGTTTTAAAGATTTTTTTAACATACAAGCACCTAGTGGAATTATATCTGACGTACAAAATCGAGACTTCACCTTTTGTTTTGATTGATAAAAGCTAACTTTCCTGCTAAAATGTTTCCGCTAAATTTCTAAGTTTTCCCTTTGAGTAGTAGTGGAAAAACAATTATTCTTCGTCTCTCTAAAAGTCCACTTATCGATTGTACTACTCAGACTCTTTTTAGTTTGACATGAGTTTTCTGAAAATATTTTCATCTAAACGATGGATCACAATTCTCCCATATACTAAATACATATAACAGCGAAAAAATGAATATGATATAACATTGAATCTTACATGTAGAGTTGATGTCATTTATATAAATAAGAATAGCTGTTTAAAACACAGAAGAATAACGAGTAGGTTTTGAAAAATAAAATGATTGGCTGTATGTATAATAAGATAAAATAGATAAAAAACTATTTTTAAATATTAGAGATCCAATTTTATCTTACAGGTATATTTCTTAAATGTTCTAAATGCTTATTATAAGTAAATTTTAAATTTTTCTCGAATGCTGTCGATTGTCCACCAAGTTTTTCCATCATTTCTAATGAATTTGGTATTGATTCATCTATATTACTATTTAATGAAAATGGTTTATTCCATGGTTCAACTAAAATTGTTTTCAAATTGATTTTTTGTTTATGTATTTGAATATCGTTCTTTTTTAACATATGTTTTGTATGTCGTTTAATAATACCTGTTTGTGAACGTTCAATATTTGTTTGAATACGATCTGTATATGGTGTGTTAGTATTGGCTATTTTTTGTTGATGATGACGTCGCCTATTTATTTGTGATGAATGTAAATCGGTCATAGTTGTTTGAAATGTACGACGTGATTCTAAATGACGTTTTGATGATGTCATTGATAATGGTGATGTACGATCAAGAACACTTTCACGAGTTATTGTCGATCGGCGTAATTGAACGCCAAGTGAATCGACATTAATTGGATTTGGTTTCGGACATAATCGAAGATTTTCAATCGTTTTTATAGGACCAATACTATTTACATAGGTAGAACTACCAGCTTTTGAATCCTAAATTTCAAACATGATTTAATGATGAGTTTTTTTTTTAAAAATAAGACTGATATATTTACCGGATATCGTGCAGAATAAGACTTAATAGTTGATTGAGTGTTCTCGATAAGTACCGCGGTTGTAGATCGAACATGTTTTGGAGATTGATTGACATTGTCATTATTTTCTTTAATTTCTGATGATTTCACACGATAATATCCTGTTAACCTTTTATAATCTTCAGTTGGCGTATGTACCGGTGAATTTTTTAGACTATTTTCAGTTGCTAATTTTCTCTGTGGCATAACTGTTGCTGTTGGTATTGCTGGTACAATAGTCTCCGTATCTAGTTTTTTATCTGATAATCCTGGTGTAGTGGAACTACCTTGACGTCGAATATCGTATAGTTCATTCAACAACTGATCATCTTCAAGACGTAAATTATTCATATCAACAGTTTTTATATTTAATTTTGTACGTGATGGTGATGTTAATGATGATTTTCGATAAACGGATGGTAAAACATTTGGACGATTATTATCGAGTACAACATCGGTCCAATGTATATAAATTGGAGAATAAGTAATTATTCGATGCCATTCAACTTCACCAAATGGACTCAGTTGAACGGTGGCTATTTGATCATGGAATGCATTCGATGAATTATAATCTAATTGAGCCTGTTCAGAACCCATCGAGGCAAATGCTCCAGAATAACTGCTCATCATCGATGTCTATATAAAAAAAAGTTTTACTACGAGTTATTCCGATATTTTATTTGCTGTGTACTGAAATCAATTTCATTGTAACAAATTTTTGATAACTACACTACAGATTTTGTATGTGAATAAATTACGGTACGTATAAACGTACTACATATGGTTTCTTTTAGAATAAAAAGTCAAATTTGAATATGTCTACAAAGAAGTGATTAACCTGTAATTAACAATGAACTAACTTATTTCATTTAGCTAAGATTCTTTTTTCATATAAATATGTAAAAGTTAATATGAAATTATACAAAAAATTTTTTTTTACTGACATATTTGAAATTTTTTTATCCGATAACCAGAATTAAAAATTCTAAAATGAGTTAATGATCACATTATTCTGCTAGTGAAAAATGTGACAATAGTTTTTCTTTCTCTAACTCTCTTTAACTATTTTGTTTTGAAAATATTTCTAGTTGAAGAAGAAAAAAGAAATAGTTTTCATACATTTTTCTATTAAGGCAATATGCTCTTTGTTACTGTTGTTAATTTGTTACACCAACCAGAAAATAAATTTTTTTTTTGTTAAAAAGGACAAAGAACCTGTTTAATTATTAACAATGCGTATGTATATCCTTCTCTCTCTCTCTCTCTGTCCCCTTTAAATCGAAAGAGAAAAAAAAAATACGTTTGAAATCGATCATAAAATTTCGATAGGTATGTATAGGTGTGTATGACTAGAAGAAAACAAATCCTTACATATACTTGTATTATTTCTACTGTTAAATGCATTTCTTTCTTCATTGCACAAGCGACAACAGAGGAAAAAAATAAATATTTTCATTTTTATAAAATAAATGTATGATAACATTTAAGTAGATTAATGAAGTGCGTTTAGCAAAATGTAAAAAATTAAACGAAATTAGCAATACTTTTGAAAAATGTATTATGACCATACTCACTATAACAGATCGTTTATCATTAACTCTGACAATAATTCTACTAAACGAGTAAATTCAGTGATATATTAAAAAACAATGCACTTAAATTGTATTCGATTTTTGTGTGAAAATATATTTCACATGGAAACGATGATCTCTTCAATCAGACTTACTCCAATCATAAATAAGAGGCTAGAAAAAAAACCTCTTATTTCTCAAAAAACATAAATCATCAAAAAAACAAGTTAATGGAAGAAGAAAAAAAAAATGTTCAACTGTCACTATTACAATGTTAGAAATCTTATTATCGGAAGTATTTTTTCAACTAGGTATGCATGATTGATACTATTATTTTTCTTTCCTCTCGATTATTACTTTTTCTATATTATCTTTTATACTCGTTCATTTAAATATTTTTGTCTTTCTCTTTTATCTTTTTTTAAGCGAAAGGAGTAATAAAAGTTTCTCACACACATAAGATGAACTCAATTTTTATACCTTTCGGCAGTCATAAATGAAAAATTTTCAAAGGATTTCAATAATGAAAATAATTTTTTTCAATTATATTGGAGAAAATGTTCAATTCTAATATATCTTTAAGTTTGACTTCGAGAATTTTCTTTTTGAATGGTATTATTAGTTTGGTTAAAAATAATACAATTTAGTAATAGTGATAATCTAGTTTAGATTTTATTTTGTACTAGTGATAATGTGTATATCTAATGATATATACTTTCGTTATTACCATGACAATTGACAATCCTATTGCACGATCGTTCTAAAACTTTTCTCATCAGAGTTTGTTTTATCTGCAAATAACTATTCTTGTCACCAGAGCTTCCCATTTTTATTCTTATAATTTTTTTAACTTGATGTATGTTTAAGCGAACAAAATTAGTGGACATATACGTATCGTCACACCATTTAAACCACAAGAGAAGCATAAATAGAAACAACATCAGTTTAGAAAGAAAATTGTCAAAGAAAATATAACACAAAATAAAAACATAAAAAAAACAACAAATTAATGTACAAAATAGAGTATTCAAACAATAACACAAGTACAATTGTTTGACCTTGACTTATTAAACGAAATGAGAAAGAAAAACTCTTGATTATAGTTATTCTGAATGATATGAGTGAAATATAAGAAGAAAAAAGTCGATAACACAAGTGAGACCAAAACATTCAACGAGCTACCTACAAAGAAAGCTCTTTAAGTGTTAGATTACTTATTGTATAAAAATTATAACGCTAGATATATTCGAAACGCATTGATTACGAATCTGATACTCATTATGGCTCACAGCTAGGCATGCAACGGTAATGGTTACCGTCGCTTACCGGTTACAGTTTAGTTTTTTAAAAAAATTTTCTTGAAAAAAATATTTTTGAGGGTTGTAGCTAGAACATAAAATATAGAAAACTAATTTTTATAAATTTTATCTGCTGGAACTAAATTTCTACAGATCGATCTTCATGGTAAAAAACAGTAAATATCGTTTTCTCCCTTCAGATTAATTTGCACAACGTTGGACCTAGCAGACAGAATCTAGGAAATTTAAATTTACTAGATTTTCCTCGCTTGACTCAATTTTAAGAAATTCTTATTTCATAGTAAAATGTCGAAAATACTATTTTTTCGGCTAATACTCCACAGTTATAGCCATGAAGGAAGAATTTCTTAAAATTGAGTCAAGCGAGGAAAATCTAGTAAATTTAAATTTCCTAGATTCTGTCTGCTAGGTCCAACGTTGTGCAAATTAATCCGAAGGGAGAAAACGATATTTACTGTTTTTTAGCATGAAGATCGATCTGTAGAAATTTAGTTCCAGCAGATAAAATTTATAAAAAGTAGTTTGCTATATTTTATGTTCTAGCCATAAATTCGCTGAAGAACTATCGATGAATAACATTCATAACCAGTACGTTCAAATACATATAGTACTGTATGATTTAACACTTAAAGCCCTTGTTTTTCCTTGTTAGAAGTATCAGCAAGCGCTAGTAGTGAAAGATTAGATAATTGGAAAAGATTAATGAAGGAAGCATTTTAAAACAATAAATTTTAATACGAGATGATAATTTTAAAATTAAAAAATATATGACTATTACACGGGGAAAACAAAGATAAAACATCACTGTATTTTGAAAAAAGAAACGAACAAAAGTTCAACACAGACGAATGAATGCACAATAACGTTTTCTGTTTGAAGAAGAAACATCTCATTATTGTTCTTCTATTGAAAATTTTTATTATCTGTAGCTCATGATTATTTAATTCTTGAGCTGAATTACTTTTATTTACTATTTTACGTAGAAATAGTGTCCTTACTGCTACTTGTGTCCTTATTGCTAATATTGTTGAACAGCTGTTCATCACGTTTGATTATAAATTCATAATGATGTTACGGTGCAACATTTTGATTAATTTGTTGACGAAATGAAGTATTTAATGAGTCTTGAATTGTTGTTGCTGAATTTGTTAATGTTGCCATACTTTTTCGTAATTCTCTTGTTTTATGTTTATAAAAGTAAAGATCTTTTTCTAATTCTTTAATTTGTATCGATGTGTCGTTTAATTGTTTTAGTAATAAATGTTTTTCTTCTTCATTTATTTGTTGAATACACGTTAATTTTCGATCGTATTCAATTGTTTCTTGATTAATGCGAGACTTTAATTCAAGAATAATCTGAGTTTGTTCATCTAATTGAGACTAGAATACATAAAATGAGATAAATTAAATGATAATGAATGTAGAAAAAGAAGCTTACTTTCATTTCATCAAACTCTCGTTGACTCTTTTGATCGTTATCTTTTAAATCGATAACTTTTTCGAATAATTGTCGACATAATTCTTTTGATTCACTTTCACTCAAATGATTTATTTTAAACAATGGAGATTCAAGACCCTAAACGAAACATGTGACAGATAGAAAATAATAATTATTCTCTTTTTTATTTCGAACATCAATGACTATAATAACTCATAGAGTGATTTTAAACTGTTCACAATTATCATGTCATATCAGACGACTGTCTGTAATAATTCAAACAACGTTCAACTTTGACGTATTGAAGAAAATTAATGTCTTACTTGACTTGCTCTTATTGATTGTTGAATTTCTTTTTCTTTTCGACTAATAATATTATTTTGATATTCGACAGCTAAATCAACAGCTTCAATTGCTTCATTAATTTCAATTAATCGTCGTTCTTCATTTGGTGTTAATATATTATTATTTTCTAATCGCTCATTAAATAAATGTTTTTGTTTTAACAATTGTTCTTTCATCAATAAATGACTTGATTGTTTTTCTTTATCACGTAAGTTTACTGACTGATGAATTTGTTTATCAACATTATCTAATTTTTCATTCATAGTTTTCAAACTCTAAAACGAAAAGAAAATCAAAAATCATTACAATTTATTTCATTTATAATTATTAGGAAAATTTTATTAATATTTCTATGACGAACCTTGTTAAGCACCTGACTAGTTCGCATCTTTTTCTTTTCCAATTCTATTTGTTCATTTATTAATGTTTCTTTTTTTCTAATCAATTCCTCACGTTTTTCTAACTCTTCTTTTAACGTATTTAATTCTTTTCTTTCAAAAACTAGTTTTTCCATTTCTTGATCAAAATTTAACGTAGGCGATTGTTGCTGATCACTACCATTACCAGCACCTTGAGCAGATCTTAATCTTCGTTGTGCCGCTACTAAACCTTCAGTTTTTAATTTTAAAATTTTTTGTTGTTGTTCATTTTGTATTGTTAACTCTTGTATACGCTGTTGTTCACGTATAAGTTCTTGTTCAACTTTATTTTTCAAATCAATTTCTTCTTTGACACGTTTTTGTGCTGTTTCATGTTGTTGTTTCATACGAAATAGAGCTGATTGTAAATCAGCAATTCTAGATAAAGTAAAATACAATCGATGATTAATATAACCATAAACAAGAATAAGAGCATACCTCTTTTCACTGTTACCATTCAATTTTATCATTAATTCTCGATAATGTTTTTCTTTTTTTTTCAATGATTCTAAACGTTCTTTGGCCATGTCACATTTTTTTCGATATTCACTAAATGAAAAAATGACGAATTTTATATTTTTTTTAATATTTTTAATATTTTTTCATAATGTTACCTTTCTAATTTTGATTTTTCTGTTGTACCTTTCACAGCTATCTGTTGCATGGTCTTTTGTAAATCATTATACTCTTGGTTGGCTCGTTCCACTTCCTGTTCAAAAATAGAGAAAGTTAGAATTTAAATTGTAGTTCTTTCAACAATGTTTGATGACATGATCTACCTTTTCCAACATTTTAATATGTTGTTCATACTGTTCATTTGTATCTTTGACATCTTTATTCGAAGCATAAACACTTTTAATTAATTGTTCTTTTAATCTAAATTATGAAAATGAAAAAAATTTTAGAATCACACAACTTTTATATAACTGACGGATCATAAAGAATGACACTCTCCGATTTGCAAGTTTTCTCCTCTCTCATAGACTTCCTTGAGTTAAAAGATTCGCTATCGTCATTTTTTCACAAATACTGTAAAAATAAAAAAATATTAAGGAAATACTGTGAAATTTTAATCTTGATAATTTTATAACCCAACGCAGACAGTTTTTTCATTTTTAACTTTTGATATTTTGGGATGTAAAAAGAGAAGGTTGACATTCGGCAGTCCTTGAAAAGCTCTGTCAACTAGTTATATTTAAAACTCTTCATAACCACACGTTGATTGAAGCTGAGTTCTTTTTCTTTTATCACTTTTGTCATATATAAATTGACATGTTTTTTTGTGAAAAACAAAATGCCAAATCCTTGGTAAGAAAATGACCTCAAAGGAGTCTAAGCGGAAGGAGAAAACGTGTAAGTACGGAGACTGCCATTCTCTATGCCTTATCCGATACAATATTACTTACTGAATGTTAATGCTTAAATCTTGAATTTTACTCTCTCCTTCTTTTACTTTTCTGTTTGATTCTTCGATTAACTTTTGTTTTGTTATTGATGCTTGTGTAAGTGATTGTAAAGCATCACCTTAATTTGAAGAAAACTATTCTTCGATAATTGTTACTACAATTTGATGAAAAACAAAAATTACCTTGAAAATCATAATCGAGAACTGATGGTGTATTTCGACTTTTTCTTACACGATAGGTACCACGGCGTACAAATTTTCTAAAAATTAAATATTATTTCTTAGAACCAATTAGTCAGACAGATTTTAGTGCTTTTTATTTTTTTTTACTTACTTATCTTCTTTTTGTTGTTTATCATCTCTCAAATCTAGTTCTTCGAATTCTTCTTGTGAATGTGCTAATGCAATTGAGCGTCCATGAAATCTCTCTACAACGTATTCCATGTCAAATGCAGCTGGACTCGAATGAATTGTTCGTGGTTGAATCAACGAGGTATCCTAAAATTATTGTACAGACATTGAATAATCTTCTGTAATTATTAATAAATATTCTACTGCTCATAAATCTGTTTGTGTTTAAAGCAGAAAAAATTGACTAATCACATAATTGGTGAAATGCAAATTTCAATATTATAGCAATCATTATTTATGTATATATACAGAAAATAAATGTGCGCTTTAGTATTTCGTCTTTCCTATAGTACTCAATTTTACTTGCAATTTTCGTTTGAGAATCGACTGAAATAAATGGATTTTTTAGAATGTCATTTTTAAACTTAAAATACGACAAAATGTATTAGCGAAAACGTATGCGAACAAATTTCAGAGGGTTGACATACTACATGGTCTTACTTTTCTATAGACACCACCAAAATGTGGCGCTGATTTTGTTCGATCTGGAAATGTAACATTACCACCATCAACATTTAACACATCGACTGTTCGTCGAGATTGTTGCTAAAGTTATAAGTTGTGTTTTAAAACTCTAATATTAGATCAATGCAACAGCATACATTTTTTGATTCATTTGTTAATTTCATTTCTAATTGTGCTACAATTTCTTGTTGTTGTTCTCGATAATGATTTGATTCATCAAGTGCAGTTCTCATACGATTAAGTTCATCTTCCTACAAAAATTCAATAAAAATTGCGAAAATATATCGAATAATCTCAGAAATATTTACTCTCAATTTTAATTGTTCTTGTAATCTATTTAATGTTACTTCACGTTTGACATGCACCTGTGACTCACAACGTAATTCTTCTTGTGCCTATAATAATATACAATGATTCAAACTATTATTTCTAAAAATAAACTGCACTATTTACTGCTTGTAATGC